AATTGGGACAAAACTCGGGTAAGGGAAAAAAGATTACAAATCGAGAGACGTCTATCCTTAGAAGTTGAAGTATTTGAGGTAGGCGACGTTCCAATTGTTTGGTAGTAGTTTTCCCTCCATTGTTTCTAGTTGGAACGACCCTTTGCTTACTGTTGTCGTGATTTTGTATGGGTCGTCCCAATTGGTTCCTAGTTTGCCTTCTCGTGGGTCTTTGCTTACTTGTGTTTTGGCTTTGAATACGTAGTCCCCAACTTTGAATGGCCTGATTTTGGATTTTTTGTTGTAGTACCGCTATGCCTGTTGTTTTGAGCTATCATTCTTATGTAGGCCATGTCTCTTCGCTTTTCGGCTTCATCGAGGTCTTTCTTTTTGTTCTCATCGTTGTTTGGCCTGCTTTTATTTGAGTATCTTAGGCTTGGTTCCTCGACCTCAACTGGTATTATTGCATCAGTCCCATAGACTAGTGAGTATGGCGTTTCCCCTGTGCTCATCTTTGGAGTGGTGCGATGTGCCCATAACACTTCTAGCAGCACTTCTGGCCACAATCCCTTGGCGTTTTTGAGTTTCTTTTTCATGATATTCAATATTGTTTTGTTGGAGGATTCTGCCTGACTGTTGCCTACAGGATGATATGGCGTGGAGAGTATTCTTTTGATGTGCCATTTTTCGAAGAACTCAATGGTCTTTTTTTCCAGTGAATTGGGGAACATTGTCGTAGCTGATTTCTTTGGGGATGCCGAAACGGCATATGATGTTTCTCTATATGAACGTGATTACTTCTTGCTCGCATATTTGGGCGAATACACCTGCTTCCACCCACTTGGAGAAATAGTCAATTAAAACTAAAAGAAATTGTACATTACCTCGTCCTACTGGGAGGGATCCGACGATGTCCATTCCCCATTTAATGAAAGGTCAGGGAGAGGTGACTAAATGAAGGTGTTCGCCCGCTTGGTGAATCATGGTGGCGTATCTTTGGCATTGCTCGCACCTTTTGACGAAGTCAACGGCTTCCTTTTCCATCGTGGGCCAAAAGTAGCCTGCTCGTATGAAGCATCTGACGAGAGCTCGGTTGCCAGTGTGAGCTCCACAGTGGCCCTTGTGTACTTCTTTGAGGATGTGCTGTGTTTGATTTGGTCCTAAGCACTTTGCTAGGGGACCGCTAAATGTTCTTTTTTACAAGTCGTTATTGACGATGATGTACCTGGCCGCCTGCATTCGAAGCTTCTTGGCTTTTTTTTTGTCGGGTGGGAGCACTCTGTCCTGCAAGTATGAAATAATACGATTGCCCCAGTCCCAAGTTAGGTTTATAGATCGTACCTCGATTTGGTTTAGTGATGAATGGAGGAGAGTAACCACGTCCTCCCTCTCCAATTATGCTTTTGGTGGCCGCTGCCAATTTGGTGAGGCCGTCCGCTTCGATATTCTGTTCAGGGTATTTGATCGAGCTAGCATTCGTCGAACTCGGGTAATAGTTTGCAATTTTGTCCTGATATTTCTGTGACGTTGCTCCTTAATTTGGAAAGTCCCTGTGACTTGATTGACGACGAGTTGCGAGTCACATCGAAGGATGACTCGCTGTGCTCCGTACTTGAGCGCTAACTTTAACCCTGCAATCACGACCTCATATTAGGACTCATACTCGGCCTTAGGATCACATGCATGCAAGGTAATCACTATCATCCCCATGAATTACCTCACTAATGGCCCATTATAGCTACACTTTGGAATTAGGAGCTTGGGTGATTGAAGCTTACCTCTTGGGAAGGAGACGTAGGTGCCTCCCTTGTTAATCTTCAAGGTGGTTAAGCAAGAATTGAAGAACAATTGATGAAGACCACTTTCTCTCTCTAGGATCCTTTCCCTCACTCTAAACTATCAGAAAAATATGCTCAAAATGGCCTAATATGGGTGTTTTAACGGAATGGGGTCGAGTTTTAAAAAATTAAAAAATAGGAGCCCAGACACAGATCCGTGGTCGTATATGCAGCCCGCAAAATGACCACGAAAGTCGCCCTGAGAGACCTAGATTTTTTGCCTCGGTCTGCGGCCAAGACCTATTATGCAGTCGCATAATGCGCTGCAGAACCTCCCTTCACAAAAGTTCAAGAATGGTTATGTGGCCAAAGTGCGGCCCTCGAAATGGTTATGCGGTCGCATAATTGGCCGCGAAAATAAACCTCAAAATTGGCCAAAAAGACTGCCTCACTCTGCGGCCAAAATACGACCCGCAGAATGATTAAGCGGCCGCATAATGGGCCGCAGAAATGCACATTTCTGCAGAACACTTTCCTTTAACTCTATAGCGTACTGTTCAATCCAAAAAGACCGAACCACATTTCTACTATTACAACACATAAATCTAATTTGGCACCACGAAATTCCGGGTTTTAGGTAAAATTTCACGGGGCCTTACACAGACGGCGCCAAATTGTTTGACCAAAATGTGTTAAGTCTTTTTGTTAAAGTAATTAAATAAATGATCATGAGTAAATTCTAATTAAATATAATAAATCCTAGATCCAAGATTGATGGATCGTAATAGTCTAGAAACTGCGTTTAAAGCTATTAAATGCCAAAAGGATGATTAATGATATTGTTAAGAATGAATGAGGGGATAAGGACAAACAATAAATATGATAAATGGCAATAGCTATAAATAGAAAGAAAAATTCACCCTAATGTATAACGAGATGGATGATTCTCCCTCTGACAATGATGTAAGGTAACCAAACGTGGGAATATTAAATACTTTATCGAATCTGATGTGAGAAAGCTTGGAATAAATAGCGAATCGAATCTTGTGTAAAGATAATATTTGTAGTTACTTGAGAGTCAACTTTTGTTGAGAGAGCTTATCAAGATAGACAATATTACACGCCTCCTCTTTCTCTATCTATCCCTACTTATATGGGATATATTCTTTACCTACTGAAAGTACAAATGCAGAGAATATACCTTTAAAATATCTTATTACTAAGCTAGCCGTTTTGGCCGATCTGAGTGCTCGACCTCGACATTAACTGCTCGGCTCGCCGGTGTTGCTTCTTAAACACGACCTCGGCCTAACTGATTCTTGATTGCCTTATTTCAGGCGAGGTTCACTTGATCAGATTTTGACCCATACAAGTCTAAGCTTTTCTTTGAATCATGATTTATATTCTTTCTATATATTTTTAGATTTTGGTCCGTATTTTTCAGACGTTATCCTCCATATTTTAATGGAACGTGTACTATTTCCGGATAAGAACTGGTAATTACTATTTCTTGATGATATGTAACTCATTTTAGAGCGAACCGAGTTCTTTTTCTCAAATCCTCATAGAATAAATTGTGGAAAATAACTTGACGTTTGTGATTGCGAGTTGACTAGTTATGAATACATTTTTCAGGTTCAATCAAACCATTTTCTTTACTTTTGTCCTTTTCCTTCTTAGTTGGCAAATTGCTTGGGTCGTCGTCAGTCAAGTTATAATCATGAAGAAAACAGAGTAATTTAATTAACTATCTAGACAAATAGTTACTTAATGTCCTACTTAGTGTCGATATTAATAGAAACAAAGAGCTACTCCTATTTAGTGGGAATCTAATCATACTAGTTAGGGGCCCAAAAGGTGATTTTCCCAGTTTCCATTAACCTACGACTTTAATTAGTGTGTCATAAATAGGATATTGGACAACAACTTTGTAGAACGAGAAGCAATAACCTTGGTCCGATAAATCATTGCCGGTACTTGAATATTCACGTGTCGGTCAATTTATTCACCAGTACAACACTCGCTACAAAGGAGAGTGTGATACACAGTTTATTTAGCGCGTAGGATGGCGTTGTACATTTATTCAAATAACCTCCATGTCACGACAGCAGACAGACGTAGACTCGACGGTACTGTACTCATGAAAAAGGAAAATATATGCTTGAGCTTGACGGTAATAAGATAAGAAGAATCTTAGTTCAGTTTTTTCTCCAATATTTACAAAGTGGACAAATATACTAACATATTTTACTTAAAATGTAAGCTTTTATGTATAAAAACACAGTCGATACAAGAAGCTGCGTGGGATATACGGTCATATGTTTGAATATTAAAACATGATAATAATCTCTTTTATAGTATTTGACTAATAACATGTTTAATCAAGTTCTTGAATATCATTATAGCTGTTTTAGGTAAAATATCATTATAGCTGTTTTATGATCATTATAGTCTAGATCCAAGATTGAATGTGATAGAGCTCAAGTTAGTTAAATAAATACTTGAATTTCATAATAAATATGCACTAGGTAAAAAAGAACTATTTGATGACGGTATCGATGATAAAAATACAAATAAAAATAAATTCTCTTGCAGTATTTTTTAGACTTGATAGTTCTTACCAATAGCAGATCAAGCCAATTTAAATATTAAAATAGACTTGAACTATTCTAAATGTATGATTATATTTAACATATATTTTGCAAAATTGAAACTATTAGATGATGAAAACTTATAAAAATATCATCTTAACCATAGATGTTAATATTATCAAAGCTTTGATGACTAGAGTTATTAGATACATTCCACGATGAGAGCTAGCAAGTTGCCGAGTGCATAGTCAAGATACGTATAAGGTGGTCGATACATTATCTTTACAAAACAAAACAAAAAAGAAATCAAATAAAATATATAACATTTTATTTATATAATTTAAGTCCTTTTCTTAAAGTGTGGTTTTAGGACACCAATATCATTGAGCTGCTCCGGAAAAGTATATGCAACTTTGAGAAGCAAAAGAAAAAAAAAATAGCTTCTGTCCAAAAATAGTTTCTTAAAAAACACTTTTGAGAAAAATAAACTTAGAAACACATTTTTAAAGTTTGGTCAAATATTAATTATTGCTCAAAAATATTTTAAATTAATCCGTCAAATACAAATTACTTTTTAAAAAGTATTTTTTAAAATAAACTAATTTTAGAAGCTCGACCAAAACAGGCTATTAGATAAAAGTCATACATTAGCTAAGAAATAGGAACATCAACTATGGAAAAAAACGCGTCAGCATATTACCTTTTCAAGAGTCTTTACACATACAACTATTCACGGGGTTCATGAAGCAACTTTTAAGATTTTATTAAAAAAGTAAAAGTAATTTTTCACAATTTAAAATAAACAAAATACTGAAGACCGTGTATATTTCCCTTATACCAAACATTGAACGAAGATGTTGCATGTTGACCAATCCTACAGTGGAGAGTGGGGTTGCTCAGTTTGTCCCATTTCTTCTTATCCTACGCATCAACCTTTGTCCCATTTCCCCTTACACTCTGCTCTTCACTGTGAAAAAGTGTAGAAGAGCCGTTTTCACCACCACAGCTTTATTCAGCTCCTAGCAGAAGAACAGAAGGTTTCACTTTCTGGGGTTCCTCAATCGGTTAAAGAAAAGATTTTTATTCTATGGTTGCGTGATTCAGCATGTGCTCTAGTGTAGAATTTGATTCTGCTTTTTTGACCAACCCAAAAAAAAAAAAGAATCTGTAATCCAAGATTCAGTCTTTCTTTCCTTTTTAATCTTCCCAGAGTGTCTCATAGTCAGTTCTAGCTGTTTTCTTGAAAAGTAGCTCATTGCGTGAAAGTAAAAGACATTCTGGGTATCACTGTTTGAATTTTCTTGTTCTGTATTTCTTTGTTTTAGAGTGGTTTCTCGTGAAAAGTTGGTTATCATTTAACACTCGAGTTTTTTTTTTTTTGGTGTGAGCAAAGGAGGGTGAGTGATGTGGGGGGCAGAGGGACCAGTAGGGTTATTTCCATTAATATGTAGATAATGTTTTGACAGAATCTTATTGGGAAGCCAAAGTAGGTAAATCACATTCAGCACAGTGTGTGCGTGGAAAGTGTGAGAAAAGGTGAAGAAATTTAAGAGAGGTTTTTTGAGGGATAATTGTTAGCTCAACTAGAGAAATGAGTGATAGTGTAGCAATAACAGCATCATCTTTGGCCATTACTGAGAAAAAAACTCAAAGGCCTGGTGGTTGTGTGGGCATTTTCTTTCAGCTCTTTGATTGGAACCGTAGATTTGCTAAAAAGAAGCTGTTTCGGAAGAAACTGCTCTCACCAGGTTAGCTCTTAAATTTCCACTCATTTTTTAAGCAAAATGGTTATTTTCTTGAGGGTAATTCTATAGGTGTAATATTTTCTTTGTTTGTGTTGCATTTTTATAGCTCGCTTGAAACAAGCTTCAAAGAAGTTTGGAGGGGATGAGAAGCAACCAAAGCATCGTTTGGTACTCATTTCATGAACTATTTATTACCACATTTAGCTTTGCTTTTTGCAGACTTAGTTGTAAGGCCTGACAAGAAAGTTCATATTTTTTATTGTTTTTTGGTTCTTGTATGAACAATGTAGATTGCTAATGAGAACAGTGGAGGTTTTCCAAATACAAACAACAATGGGATGAGCAAATGTGAAAGCAAGCGTGAAATGAAAGCTCCAAGTTTGGTTGCTAGGCTCATGGGTTTGGAATCAATGCCTACAGGACAATGTGGTACACCGAAAAAGGCTTCAGCTCCTGAAATTGGGAGCAATATGGCAGAGAAACTTGGTGCTCGGCCTGGCGGATCTGATAGAGAAGATATGAATTTTGAGAAGGCTGAAATAAAGCGCGAATTAAGGCCTCAAAAGCTTCAGAAGATAGGGCTGAGCGAAAGACGCCCAGTCAGTAGATTTAGTGCTGAAGCATTGCAGTTGAAGACTGTATTGTCAAGGCCAAGAAAACATCAGCCTAAATTGGTTTCTCCTGTAAAAAGTCCCAGAAATGTTTCTGGTAGAAATGCATCTAGGTTGATTGGGGCTGCAAGTAGGATTTTGGAACCGGGTTTGCAAAAGAGTAGGGCGAAATGTGCTCTCACTTATCCTAAATATTTTTCTCCCTTGGAAGACAAAGCAGATTTAGCAACACACCATTTGGTGGAAGGCTCTAATTCTTATGTGGATTCAAAGACTTTGAAGGGTGCATTTGTGCCTTCATGTAAAAATTGTGGTTATTTGCTTCATAGTAAGAATGGTACACCAAATGTTTTGTCACCTGTCTGTAGTTACTCTGAACCTTCTTGTGAAGGCCTAGGAAGAAATATGCCGAGGTTGCCGATTTTCGGCAGCAGGGATCAACACGAGAGAGTTTCTGAGAGTTCGTCCTCAGACGCCACTGCAGAAATAGATGATGTATCTTACTGTGCGGAACTCATATTGGGCAAGAGAACTATTAGCAGAAGTCAAATAGGGATGCATGGCGCCCGCCAAAGGAGCAATGTGAAGAAAGATGTATCATCTGTTACTCATGTGGATAAGATTCAGAAGCAAAATCAAACATCTCAGAATAGAGAGAGAGGTCTTATGAAGTCTAAGCCAAGTAGTCTGCAAAGCAACAGAGTTTTAGCAGCTACAGAATCTATGAATGATACTAAAAGTTTTGTTGCACAGAACAGAAGTTTAGGTGCATCTACTACCCGATTGAGGATGCCAGCCACAGCCGACGGCTGCAAGTTTGAAACTGAAAGAAAACCTTATTCACGGAGAAGTGATTCCCTCCCTCCGGTGCGGAAGAAGCGATTGATGAATGTTTCCAGACAAGGTGAAAGTTCGACTTGTGGAAATGCGAGTTTGGGCAGAGAATCAAGTCCCTACTCTGACAAAACAAGTAGAAAGGATGTTTTTCCGATTAGTTCTGGTGATCGGCATTCCACTAAACCGAAGTTGCCATGTTTGCGAGAGAGCCGCGCAATCAGTGATAGTTCTGAGGGACGTAATGTTGTTTCCTTTACATTTAAATCTGCAATGAATCAGAAGGTTGACGTTCATGCAGAAGTCACAAAAAGGAAGTCGCAAAATGGCCCAAGTTTTGGTGCTACTCCAGGAAGATCCTTCTTTAAAGGAAATGATGAAACAACATGCTTGCAGAAACCCTTACCTTTGAAAGGGGACATTTTAGGAGCACTTCTGGAGCAAAAGCTGAAGGAATTGGCTAGTGAAGAAGAGTTCGCAGAAGGGGGTAGAAAAAGCACTGCTACGATCCTTCAGGAGTTAATTACTGCATTGAATGCAGAGACACAATTTCATCTGGATAGTTTACCTCTTAGACCTAGCAGAAAAGAAGAAAAGTGTGATTATGCTGGTGTGTCCTCTAGAAATACTTGCATGAATTTCCAGGTTAGCATAGCTTTAATGTTAACTACCTGAAGTTGCAATAAATGAAATACTGAATGATCTCTTATGATATATTTCCTTTTTTTAAAGCTGGAGCGACATAAGTACCTACGGTGTAAACAGCTTTGGACTTGTGGATAATTAATCATACATTTGATGAAACTGGTTTTCTTCCTTTGTGTGATTATATTATACTATACCAATACTTGGTGCTAGTGCAGTCAATATTAATTATAGAGTACATTGTCACGTCCTTAGTCTTAAACTAAGTGCACGTGCGGCACTTGGCAACTCACTCACGATCTTGCATAACTTGCTCACGTTCTTGCTATGCCAAGTCAGCCCTACTACACTCATGATCACTAAGAGAATGGAAGAAAGAACACATGAGAATTGCCAAAGTAAGCTTTTGTATTAGAGAGAACTTGATTATTTTGCTTGGTTCATGAATTACAAATGAATGCCCCTATTTATACTAATCACCTAGGGGCTAGTAAATAATAATTAATCTACAGGTCCTTCCATATTTACAACTAAATCCTTCTCTAGAATATTCTACATAGCTAGAATCTTCTAAGGACTTTCCTAACAATTCTATAGGGTTCTAGGGTCTTTCTTAGGAAACCTCTATATTTCTCTGGAACCTTCCTACAAGCATAAATATCTAGAACATTTCCTAGGAAATTTTCCATAGTTATAGAATATTCCACCAAGATCTAGTACCTAACTTATGTAACCATTCCATATGGCAAAAATATATGTCAAGTGGCACCTACGTGGCATGATGATGTGGCGGGTCATGACAACATTCTATTAAAGAAGAATGCTTCTGTTTGGTTTATAAAATATCGAATTAGAGCACACAGAACAAGCCAATAGTTAGATAACAAAGTAGAAAGACTAAATCAAGCAAAGCCTAGTAATACTCTGCATTTAAATGGAGCATAGTCTTTCATACTGGTAACTTCATTCTAAATTTCATGATTGATTGATCTGGCTAATTTAACATTAGCTGAGTGTGTTGAACTGTTCATTGCCTATGAGAGTACTTGTTAGCATTAACACTTACTGATTGTATGTACCAAATTTAGTATACTCATGGCGCTCATGCATACAAAGAACCATAATCTTGCTTGATTTAAGTGCCATTTGATTGGATCAGATGTATACTTCAGCTTTCCCTGACTAGTTACATAGAAGCATATTTCTTCCCATGCATTTTCTTGTTTTCCATTAGAAATGAAGTGCACATTCTACACACACTATTCAACTGCTTTTTGGCTTCTTAATAAATGCAGAGCATAGGCAACCGTGGAACTGCACTAATAGTAGTCAGGAAATAGCACTTCAGGATGCTAATGATTTAGTTATTCACTATTCATAATCCCCCCACCCCCCAGAAATAATTTCTTTCGTTGCTTTTCAAGTACCACAAAAATGCATAAATGCGCTTGCTTCAGTTATACTCCTATTATATTAATCTGAATCTTCTTATTGCTTTTGAAATTCTGCTCAGGCCACACCAGATTCGGCAACCAATGTAGTTGGGAATTCACTTGATATTGATCACCGTAGTCCAGGATGTGTTCTTGAAGCTAGCTTTTCAAATGACAGCTGCCTCTCCAGCAGTCCTAATAGTAGCTCAAGTATGGTCCCTCGTGCAAAGTTTACTATTCGCAAACTTTCTTTCTCTTAAAAAAAAAAAGAAACCTCTGAATTTGGATTTCATTCATGCATGCTTCTAATATATGTGCTTGTTTACCTACAGAGGACAAATTGCTTGCTGAATCTGTGGACTCTACCTATGATGAACAACTCTTCCCAGAAACTGATAGAGATCTTTCGGATTGTGCAACCTCATTATTCAGCCGGAGGAGTTGTGGAGCACTGATCACAGACCATGTTAACAACATTTCTGGAGTGCTAAGCAAGATTGATCAGTTAAAAGGAAGCAAACTCAGTCACGCAAAAGAGGTCGTTTTGAATGCTGAACTTCATTTTGGAACTAAACCTCTACCTGTAGACGATGGGTTTTCTGTGAGCCATTTTCTCGTCAATGAACTTGATATGCTATCAGGTCTTCTATGGATGACTTTTGGTCAGTTGCTCGGCTGTAATGACCCAAAACAGATTAATCAGCTTAAAGGATTTGCCTTTGATAGTGTAATAGAGTACCTAGACATGACATTTGGTCGATACTCAAATTCTGGTTTCAGAACCTGGACCAAACAACCATCAAGTATGACTAAAGAGATTCTGATTGCTGATATTATTGAAGAGGTCAAAATGTGGACAGAATTTGGTGGTTTGATCCCTGACGAGTTAATAGAATGGGATATGAGCCATTCTTTGGGTAAATGGATAGATTTCGACATTGAAGCATTTGAGTGTGGCACTGAAGTTGATAGGCATATTCTCCAAGTATTAGTAGATGAAGTTGTTTTAGACCTATATTGTTCTAGCTAAATTCAGATGTAACTCTTAGCAGTAGCTCCTTTTGTTTATGAAGAGTTTGCAGTAGTAGCCTATCATGTGATAACTCTGGCTTCAATAATTTCAAGCAAAGTATTTTGTACAAATCAATAGATTCTGCATCTTATTCTACTATTTATTGTACTTGCTTTTGCACCAGGATGACAGGCCAAAAATGAGAAATGATTTACAAACATTTAACTTAATAAAAACAGCATTTAAGAACAATTTGAAAGCAAGTCCATTATTAAACCTCTTATGTTTGGCTTTCAAAATTAGCATACAAGCTGTGGAAATATGCATCTTAATGGATTTTTGCCCCTTAATTTTCTGGGAGGGGCTGGAAACCCAACAAATTGACCACCATAGATTGAGCATTGAAAAAATATCACTATTATTAAGATATTAAATAAATTGTTCACCAAAGAATCCACATAAGCAAAGAACATTCTGTAGTTCCCACTAGGTTACAGCTCCTCACTCCGATTTCATTCAAACACCATTGCTCTATACAACTCCAAGCCAAATATTGAAAAATCAATCAATCTTCTATAAAAACACCAATCTTTTAAAGCAAACCAAATGTAAAAATCAAAGAATGAAAAATCCCCTAAGAAAAAAGAACTCAACAGCTTCCCTTTTTTTTTTCTCCTCCGAATCTTCAGATTTTTGAGACTTATAATTGTCTATATCCAAGAATAGTCTTGCCAGCAATTCTACTGCTATTTCTTCCAACTCTGTTATCTCCATTAATAGCACTTCTTGCAACAGAAGCTAATCCCTTCAGTTCCTCAACATTTGCATAACTTTTCCTAGTCATTAAACCCCCATTTCTCTTATCCCCTGAATTCACTGATTTGCTGCCTCCAATATTCCCAACAACCCCATAAACTTTCCCACTTTTTGAACCAGCTGGTGGTGGAGTTGCTGATTTCTCCTTCAAAGTAGGTGGCTTTCTATTTTCCTTTCTCAATGCTGATGAAAAATCAGGTACTGATTGAGTCAAAATAGATGACCCTTTTGTCCTTTTTGGTGGCGTTACAAAATTCCCTTGAAATTTGACTTGTTTCTTTGGTGGGGTTAGAACAAACACCTCATTGTTGTAGTCTTTTTCTTCTTCTTCTTCAGGGATTGATTGTTTCATATGTTTTATTCTTAACTTTTTTTCTCTAAGATCAGCATAGGCTTTGTAACGAGGTCCCCTTTCCATGAGAACACAGTCGGTGGTAAGTTGAAGGAATTGGGGTTGATCAGAATTTGAGAATTGTGAGAGAAGAAGGGATTTTGTGTCCAGTGCAGTGTAAAGAGAATGAAGGGTTTGAGTTTGAAGCAGAGATTCACTGGTCCCTGCCATAGTTGGATGAATGAGTGAATGCTCACTGGAGTTTAAGGGGAGTTGTTGGATTTGATGAAATTTTATTTTTGTTGTTTTTTCCAACGGTCTAATAAAAGAAGCCAATAGGACTGACTTTTGGTGCTTTTTCTCCCCCTTTTGGTTTCTAACGTTCGTATTGGAAAAGGGTGGGTCCGAAAGATTGGTGTTTTGGGAGTATTTTTTGGATTCTATGAATTTTCTAAATCCGACGCCAATTTCTCATTTGCACACGTGGATACCCCATTCCAACTTGCAATATTTTCCTCGTCCTTTTAAATTTTTGGTTTATACATGAGCAATATTAGTTTATTATTACATCTACCTGTTTGACGTGAAATTCTATTATTTTTTGTCTCAAATTATTACTTATTTTTGTGCCATTTAAGATGATGTAATGAATTTTTTTTTAGATAAATGGCACTACTCATTAGACATCTTCTAAGTCAATTTATCTTACAATTTGAATAGAAGACAAGACCCTTTTCAGATCTCTTATGTATAAAAATGACAGAGACAAAAAAATTAAATGTAAAGTAGTAAAGGACTACAACCCCCCTCCTTCCTTCTCTTACTATTTTCTTTTTGATTGTTGAAACAGGCATGACAATATTCACGGGCTTACAAAACAGGCTTGTTCGCTATCTTACTCGTCTTTAGCAGCAACTGATTTGAACTGCATTCTCAAAATGAGGGTATGCAACCTCAAGTTTAGTGGCAATGGCAAGAGATTTTGATTACTGCTTCACAAGCTTACCAGTTTTCATGCAATGGTCAAAAGATCTATCCTTCTAAGAGAAGGGAAAAGTAAAATAACAAAACCCACATTTTTAACATGCTGATCAATAACAAAATTGCAACTGTAAGTGGGAACAAATGAAATTCTATATGTTCTTTTTTACTTTTAAATAAATCTATTCTACAAGTGTTTAAAAAAGCTGCATCACCAGCATGAAACTATAAGCATTACTCAGAGTCCAAACACTTTCTAAGTGGACTCCCAGTGCAATGCTCGACTAACTAGACTTAAGTTATCAGTAAATCTTGTGGTCTTTTACACCTTCATTCTAGATTCATTTCATCAAACTTTGTGATACTTGTATTTCTGTCCTATATTAAATCGTGAAATTCTACTGCCAAAGCCTTCCAATACTACCGTCCTGACAGCCTCAACTCCTTGATCAAGTGCTGCATCCACCTGCTCATGTACAACAAGAGAAACATGAAAAACATTACTGAATAACATGATCTCACATTTCTTTGACAAGTATCAAGAAGCTCATTACCTGTTTCCGCTCTGTATCACTGAATTTCTGTAAAAGATATGCCTTCATATCCATAGTTCCAGGTGGATTTCCAATGCCTACATACATACATGGAATACATGCTTTTCAGCTTGGGATTTATAGATGCAATTTTAGTTAGTATAACAACATGTATTCTATTGGTGAATATGTCAGTATGGTTTCACAAGTGATTAACACTCAGGACAAACCTATGCAAAATCGTGGAAATTCCCTGCGACCATCCAAATGCTCCATCACACTTTTCACCCTGCAAAATGAACAATCGATCAAACATGATTTTCTGTAACTGAATGAGTTCCTGAAAAACTTAAGCACTAGACAGTATCAATCTGCTAATATTACACATGGTACATCATATCCTAAGCCAGTGTCATAGAGATTTGACTAGTAAAAGACAATACCCATTATGGTGGCCATGTCCTCCTTTAGGCTGAAGCCTCAGAACACCATTTGGTAAGCTCATCTCATCATAAACCTACAAGGATGAGTACGAACAATGTACTTCAAATGATGAAAATAAATATTTTGAATCACACATATACACTGTGACATTCACCCTCAACTCTCAAGTGGGGAAGAAAGTATTATCTTCTACAACAATATCATAATATTAGTTGCAAAAATCATACCAGAAGGATGTGACGCAGTGGCACCTGATAATATGCAGCAAGTGGTCCGACCTAGTAAGATAAAAAAATAAAAATAAAAATAAGAAGGTTGGATTAGGCCCACATTTATCAAAGAGGGATATAAGCCGCACCACTCCCACCCACCAGGGGAAAAAAGGACACAATCACTCAACAGTCAAGACAGAAACAAAAAAAAAAAAAAAAAAGCAAGGGAATAAAGAAAGCAAAAAAATTGATTTATGAGTATTGTTCATAAGAAGAGGGACCATAAAAGATACAAAAGATTTGAAAATTGCACCCTTAATATGAGAACTAAAAGAGAAAGAAGAAGAAAAGAACGGAAGGAGAAAACATCGGGAGCAACTTTCAGAGATCAAACTAAGAAACAACCAGAAATCTTTTATCATGACATCTATAATATCACATACCATACATGAGATTATAATGAACCATCAGCAACATTATTTTAACGGAAAAAGGTCTGATATATCCCTCTACTATTAGAAATTATTTAGAAGTACCCTCGTTATACTATTGGATCAAAAGAACCCCTACCGTCTTACTATCCAAACAAATATATCCCTGACTCGACGGACTGGACACGTGGCATCCATCCAAGACTTATGGTCCATCGGATCTTAGATTAGACCCGACCCACCCCACTACCCACATCTCTCATCCACAAATTGGCATAGCCGACGAGCAATGACAGGGGAGCATGGTGGCGATGATGCAGAACACCATATGTGCATAGAATTAAATTAAACAAGAAACAAGTACTAGAGCTTAAGTATCTCAGATTTGTGGCAAACGACACGGTCAAATTAGTTGAATTTTAAGGGATGGGGGTATTTTGCGTAAACGAAGGCTTTGGATGGTTTAGCTTAGGCATTGGATCTGCTGCATTTGATGGGCGATTTTCGGCGTGACTGGGCAGCTGTATTTTAGAGATTCATGACAAATAGCGCAGTGAAATGAGTTGGGCTTTTATAGGTGAAGGTGTTATAAGGTGATGAACCTTTCTAACAATTCAAAATTGCTGCACAAGCGTCGGAACTACCATTTTTTCCGGTAGCTTCCCCGACCAAAGTGTTCTGCTATATTTGAAGGCCTTCCCGTGGTCTAAATAAGTTGAATATTTAAGGAGAAGAATGTGATTTGAAGAGTTTGAAATGGAAATAGTGAGATATGTTATTTGTTGGGATGATGCTTGCAGTTGGAAAAGTGAAGGTGGTGGGACGATGGTGATTGCCGATGAAAATTGGAGCGCACCAATCCTTTTCTTTTTCTATTTTCCTTTTATTTTCATGATTTTTTATTTTTTTAAATATTATTTTCTTATTGTTTTTTTATTTCACTGAGCGGGTAACGGGTAGTGGGGCTGGGTCGGGTCTAATCTAAGATCAGATGGAACAAAAGTCTTGGATGGACGCCACGTGTCCATTCCGTCGAGTCAGGGATATATTTGTTTGGATAGTAAGACGGTAGGGGTTCTTATGATCCAATAGTATAACGAAGGGTAACTTTAAATATTTTCTAATAGTAGAGGGATATATTAGACCCTTTTCCGTTATTTTAAACTTGGTTTGGAACGGTTTTTTTTTTTTTGAGATGGAACTTGGTTTGGAAAATGAAATGACCATATTCAACCTTGTTCTGTCATCTAAACGGCTAACTCACAACAAGACAACATAAAGTCCCAAACACTCTAAAATAAGTGTGGAAAAGAATTGACAGCATAAGCAAATCTAGGTCGCACTCTAGTCGGGTATACATGTGAGACAAGACATGGCAAAAGAAATTAAAAAATCAAAGAGAAAGCAGAAACTCAGTTGCTCTAGAATCCCTGCCTTTGGGCTAGTAGTGGAATAATATTCAGCAAGTGGAAGTATTGACAGAGCAGCTTTCTTTTCCATTCTAACGCCGATACTTCAATGTACCAACAAGTCTGACAAAGTTCAGTAAATTGAGAATTGGAAAATATGTCTGAATTCATATTCTATTCTACATCACTACCGCATTTTCACACAACATTTGCTAGCAAGATAGAGGCCAAAAAATTGTGAACTTCTGTCAAAAATCAGAAAGTGAGTGAATCCTTTCACAATTCACCCTTAATGTGGCTATTCACACAATACATTCAACTCTGATCCATGGATATTTTTTGTAATTTATCCAGCAATATGCATCAGATTTAGGCAAAAAAATTCACAACCAATTACCCTATGCAGAGTTCAATATATTGCAGATAGATGCTGGCTAAGTGGAGATGAAGGTCCAACAAATCATTCACACTAAAGAAATTAGATAGTTGATCAAAGAACCTGACATGTGTTTCCACATTATTTATGAGGTAGATGCACAAGTTTAAGGGGTAACGTTTAATGCAAGTAGAAGCTGATTTAAGAAGAGACATTTGGTCTAATAAGTAGACTTTCATAAAGAACCTGTATACAAGGCAGAGATAGTCTAATCAAAAACTGAAGGTGACACAACCAATTAGTACTTGTTATCATTGGTGACAATATAACTTGGCCACATCCGTGTCATATTCTTATTCTAAGAAGGAAAACTAAAAGTAACCTTTTGACAATCGTGCAAACACAACAGCTGATATTAGCAAATGCCCATTTCAATTGGAACAGTAGAGAACGTATATGCTTAATCCGTCGAGGAAAAACTATTTGAATTGTCCAAATGCCCACCATACTACTGAATGCATTCTTATTTAAAGAACTAGTGATTATGAAAATTTTGTAGTCGCACTGACAAGCTGAACATCAAAGCAGCTGAATACATACCGATTCTCCACTGAAATTCATGTAGGCTTGAGGCTTTGCCAATACCACAGGTACCTCCCCTATAGAACCTGTACCAAACACACACACAAAAAAAAAAAAAAAAAAAAAAAAAAAAAAAAAAAAAAAAAAAAGTACCCGTCAACGCTTGCAAATGGTGGGGGAAACACCCATTAAGGCAACTTGAAACAGAATAATCACCTATTCCTATCAAAGCCTTCGACTGTATTGTGTTTAATACGATTCCCTCCTCTTGAGAAACTCGATCAATCATTTCAAAACCAACCTAATTGACAATACCCCATAATCAAAAAACAAGAA